TCTCTCTCTCTCTCTCTCTCTCTCTCTCTCTCTCTCTCTCTCTGTGTGTGTGTGTGTGTGTGTGTGTCTGTGCCGAAGATGGATCAGCATTCAGCAGGGTTAGTTGACCCATTTATCGTTTATGATTTATATGTTTTTTTTTCCTTTGTCGTTGTTGTTCATTTGCCATGGGCTTGTATGAGGTTTTCCATATCTAAATCTGTTCTGTCTGCGGACTGTTATGCCTGCTGAACAGAGTTCAAATAACGGTTTTTGTTGTTGTGCTTTGTTTGGTTTGATGACCATGACTGATTGTCGTTGTCATTGTGCATTCACTAATCGTACATTGTGGTGGTTGTATAAAAAAAAAATGATCCAATGACATATGGCAGATCTATGTGAAGCGGGGCCTGAAGTATGAGCTGGCAAAACAAGTGGCAGAAGAATTGACGAACCACGATTACCTGCGAGCGCATGCACGAGATGAACTCGGAATCGACTTGGATGATCTTGCCAATCCGTCTCAAGCGGCATTTGCTTCTGTTGTCGCGTTTGTGCTTGCCGGTCTTATACCATTGATAAGTTGTGCTTTCGTCAAGGATCACAACACCCGCCTGGGCGTCGTCATCGGTGTTGCCACTATTTGTCTGTTAATTTCTGGAGCGATTGGTGCTTGGCTCGGCGGTGCCTCGATTTGGAGACCGGCACTCAGAGTCACCGTCGGTGGGTGGGCGGCCATGCTTGTCACGTTTGGGATTCTAAGGGCTTTTGGCACTGCTGGCCTCTGATAACCTTTCAGGTAAGGGGTACTTGATGGGGGGTGTGCAGAGGGTAGGGGAGGGATGAGCTACTTTTTTTTTGGAGATGCAAAGTCGCAGACAGACTCCTGCAGCTAAAATTTTTGTCAATTTGTAAAAGAAAATGTGATGCGGGATGTGCGGGATTTAGTGCACAATGTGCATGCAGTTGAAGAAATTCTTGGATGAACCTTTGAGGCCCAAGTATATATTATCCTAGGTGGATACTCCCAGTTTCACACTGGGACTCACTTTCGACTGAATCTGGCCTCAGTTAAGAGAAGATTCGTTCAAGAAAGCTGTTGTGCGAGTGAGTATATAGTATATACCTTTCGGTTGTCCTTCGTGCCCCTTGATGCTGCAGCAATTGCAGTGTGCTGCAAATTTGTTCTTGCAGTTGATGATTGCAAGCTGCACATCAGCTCTGTAGGAAATGCAGGTCACTGCACAGTCGGAGCTTTCGTGAATATATAACCGGTATGACAGACATGTACCTCCATTGCGAAGCTGGAGCTCTCGCGAGGGTTCCTTTCTTGCCCTTCTGGCTAAAAATAGATGGTGTAGTACATACGTGATCCTTGGTCCATCGGACCACATTAAGAGGGAAAAAGTAAGCTAGAAAAAAACAATTACTACAAAGCTAGAAATGTGATGACACTCAAAAATCACTTCGGTAAGTTTCATCGTTTTCATGTGTTGTCGATTTTTGACGATTTAGTCAAAATTTGCGCGTGAGACGCGACGCAACAGAATGTGATCCACACTCATCCAACAGACGGACTTCGATGTCGAAGTGCCACTCTGCTGTGCACATCTGCACTGAAACAAATGGAGGTGAAAAAGACAGTGGACATGGGGGAAGAAAGGAAACTTTTTGTGTGCCCCTGGTATGTTTCTGTTCAGTCTAAACCTTGCTGTATTTCGATGGAGGTCTGCAACAAGGTCTGAAGAAAATCGACCAGGGAAGTGAAGGGGAGGGGAGGCCAAGTGAGGAGGAAGAGAGATGCAGACAATACCCATAGAAGCAGGGAGAGAGTGTCGGAGCACACACGTGAGAGAGTGTGTGACCACACACGTGTGTGAATGTGAGGCGGAAGAGAGATGGAGACAATACCCATAGAAGCAGGGAGAGAGTGTTCGAGCACACACGTGAGAGAGTGTGTGCCCACACACGTGTGTGTGTGTGTGT